AGATAGATAGATAGATACGATAGATAGATAGATAGATATAGAGATAGATAGATAGATAGATAGATAGATAGATAGATAGATAGATAGATATAGATAGATGAGATAGATGAGATAGATAGATAGATGAGATAGATGAGATAGATGAGATAGATAGATAGATAGATAGATAGATATAGATAGATGAGATAGATAGATAGATAGATAGATAGATAGATATAGATAGATGAGATAGATGAGATAGATAGAGAGAGATAGATAGATAGAGATAGATAGAGATAGATAGAGATAGATAGAGATAGATAGAGATAGATAGAGATAAACAGAGATAGATAGAGATAGATAGAGATAGATATAGATAGATGAGATAGATGAGATAGATAGAGAGAGATAGATAGATAGAGATAGATAGAGATAGATAGAGATAGATAGAGATAGATAGAGATAGATAGAGATAGATAGAGATAAACAGAGATAGATAGAGATAGATAGATAGATAGATGGATAGATAGATAGATAGATAGATAGATGGATAGATAGATAGATAGATGCATATCCAGTACATAGGCATCTATGAAGCCAACTTCAGTGCAACGGAAAGCGTCGCCTTCACCGAAGTGTCTCGGTGGGAAAGCAGAACTTGGCCAATGGCATCTACGCGTCGGTCCATGGACGACAGCCCGGCACAAGCTGCCTTCACCACTTCGGAATAAGGGCCTCAAACACTGCAGGCTGTGTCTGAAAATAGGCCACCAACAAAACTGATGTTGATAATCATTTTATATCATTTTGCCATTAAAGCACCAATTTTGGTGCAGACTCCATCGACGCCAAACCCATATTTTAGTGGAGATGCCACCCATCAGCATGTACAGAATGTACAGTCATGTTTCACATGCGTCTACAAGTCAAAATATCGCAATGTTTCAGTATTTTTGACCCAGGGGCCGTCAAGTTTTGCAGCAACCTTGTCCGCTGCGGAGCTCACCTGAAAGCAAGGGTTGATGATACAAACATTGAATGACTGATGGACACTGATGGACGATGAAATTAAAAGCCCCAGTACACTCGGTAGACAGCCGACCCAGGCCGTGTGGTACAGCCGGCGCCTTCATTTTGCCAATGGCCAAGGCTGCCGCAGCCACAAGAGCAGGATCCTGAAGGGTTGCCCTGGATCAGTTTGATCTTGTAACACTGGAAAACCTACAAAACCGTTGCAAGAAAAATATGCGAACATGTTCAAGTCAATCATTGCTGATGCTGTTCGCGTTTCGTTTCAGTTTCAATGTCCTGGTTGCCCTGCAGCACTCCCAAAACATCTGTGGAAGTTGAAGCTGCAAGAGGTCCAAGATCACCCAAAGCTTGCAGTGCAGCTAGTTGGACCTTCATATCCGTCAGATCGTTGTTGATTTCACAGTAGAAAAATTGAGAACGAACATGTTCGATATCATTCAAGGAAAATTTCACTTTCGGTGTTTCCCTTGTTGCAAACGCTGGGACAGTGGCGTCCTTGACTGGATGAGAGAGTTTCCGCACAATTTGATGGCAATGTCTAGCACCTCGTTCACCTGGCATGAAACAAAAATTGTGTGACTCCAAATTCCATCCATTTTCTGTTTTCCAGCCTTGCTTGCTGAGGGTCAGCAAAGCTTGTGCTTGCACCCCAGAATCTGAGTCACGAAGCATCTCCACGACCTGAACATCAAACACGTTTAAAAACAAATGCGTGTGAATTTGTACGAGGACACCGACAACAGGGCCATGTACAATACAAATGTTTTTTTTTCATGTTTACGTCCTACTCAAATGATTTCAAATACACGATTATAAACCTGGTTCAAGTTTTAACACACAATGGGACATATAATTCTGAAGCGAATGAACGTTACTATTTCATTCGTAACCAAATTGCATTGATGCACTTCAAGAAATCAACACGGTTTGCACTCAGGGATCCACAAACACACAGGGAAATGCCCAGTGTTCAACACTAATTGGTTGACATGTTCAATGAGGTCATGAACAAAAGACTTTAGGTTGTCTGTTTTGAAATAACACATCATCAAGAAGTTGAGTTACGTCCTCAGTTCAGCAATAAATTACTGCATTCATGGTGTCAGCCCCAGATCCTTGGCCTGCAAATCTAGCTGAAACTGCGCTGCTCTGGAGGGGTCAATTTTGCCCTGGCAGATTTGACTGTGACAAGTTGGGTGTTTTGAAATCACAACATAAAAGTGGATGCAAGTCTTGAAGCCAGGCAGGCAATCTGGAGTAATGTTGATATCCGCACTGCAGATCGAGAACCTCCACATTGAATTCATGACGTTGTCATTTTTGTTGGTTTGAACGGGGAGTGGCACGAATGTTCGCCGCGCACATTTGAAAGCGTGAGAAAAAAAACACTAGGGTTCCAACTTTTCAGCAATGTGAGCAAACCATCCACAGGAGATGCTTGTCGAGACAAGATTTCCACAGCCATGGCTGACTGCACGAGAGATCCAATTTCCCAAGACTTTGTTCCAAAATGGTATCTTGGATTGGAAATGCCTGTAAGTTCCATCTGTTACAACTATAATATACTATAATGATCTGTTTTTTGAGTTGTTAGGTTCTCGCAAAACAGTGGGTTGAGGTTCGTTCCACAACAAAACACAAAGATCGCATCGCATTTGATTTTTTACAATATTTCATTGCATTTGAAAAAAATATAGTTCTCCCACTGATTGTACGCTCTGAAGCTGACAACGGCCATGAAACCAAACACAAACTAATCTCGTCTCCCCATTGTTTAAATTTTCCCAAAAAAAAATAGAATTGGTATGGCACCTACGGGTTTTTTTTTGGTTGCTTACAACTGTTTTCTTAATTGTGGTAGTGGTAGCTGAACATCCATGGTGAACAAGTTGTTTTTGCCCCCTGCTAACAAAAATCGAATCGCACCTGGTGTTTCATGATTAAGGTACCATGTTGAATTAAATGATATTTTTTCCTCCGACTGTGTCCATGCTGAGGGGTTCTTACGGTAGGGGTTAAGGCCGGTGCTTGATCAGGGTGCTCAATCTGGTTTCCAGTTTTTTCCCAAAAATATTCGCCTTAAGTGGTTTTTATGTTTTGTCGAAGTGCGTTTCGACTGTGCCGGCTCGCACAAAGTGTGGGTCGCAGTCTTGGTCTGCGATATTTTACCGCTAATTTCTCGCAAAAAATACCTTTTGTCACAAGTCCATGTGCCCCATTTCGACTGCGCACGCTCGCACAAAACGTGAAACTAACATCTGGCTTAACAGGTTTTTCCCGGATGCGTAGCAAAGGTTCCCGTTTCACTCTGGGGGTCTGGGGGTCTGGGGGTCTGGGGATTGAGGGTGTGTTCGCTCGACGCTGCCCAACCGTTCGCAACTGTTCGCAACCGTTCGCAACCGTTCGCAATCGTCCGCAACCGTTCGCAACCGTCCGCGCGAGGTCGCCATGGCGTGCCTGCTGGTAAGTTCTGCAAAAGGGGATCACTTTTAAAAGGCAAACGTCGCGTTGCTTCGTTTCGCGTGGCAGGCGTGGCACTCCGTGACATTCAGACGTGTTTGGTACCGTGTCGAAAGTCGTTCCGTGTGGCAAGCGCAAAACCTGTGCGACGTTTTCAGAAGATGTGTTGTAGTTTTCGTGGCAGGGGCAGTACTTTGGACGTGTCCATCCTCATTTTGCGTGGCAATCGCAACATTTACATATCTTGTGTGATTTTTGCGAATCGCATTGTCAGGGCTACGTCAAGTGGCGACAAGGTATGAAAATTGACGGAAACCTCGCGCGAAACATCGATTTTGCTGTCGCAAATTTTCAGTATCTAAGGATAACTCGAAGGAAAACATCGATTTTGAAGCTACACAGTGTCAAAATTGGAGGAAGTCTCGCGCGAAATGCTCGTTTTGATGCTCCCACGTGTCTCGTCTCGAGTCTCTCGTTTTCCTGTGGCCTTGCCGTGTCTAGGGGAAGCTGCAAAACCTCTCTTTTTCGAAGGTGTCCAAGCAGGTTGTCATGTCATTTTGCGTGGCAAGCGCAGCACTTTGTGACATTCCAACCTGTTTGATAACTGTCGGAAGTCGTTTTGTGTGGCAAGCGCAATACTATTGGGTGACATGTTTTCATTGCTAAGAATCCGGGTGAAATTTGAAGCCATTTCCAGCTTCACGATAAGTGCAATCTAAATGAAAAACATGAGCTACGGACTGCTTTGCAACACCAAGCAGACGAACAGTAAGTAATTAAGTAAAACCGCCGCCTTCAATGATGGCTACCAACCAAAGAAGCAACAAGTGAACAAACGAAACTGCTGCTCTCGATGATGGCAAGTAAGTAATGCATATGTTTCAAAGTTTTTCTCCAATTTACATTCCCAACAAATGCATTTGGTCATCATTGAGGGCGGCGTTTCAACTTAACTACTTTATGTGTCTTTGCTAAGGAAGAAAAGACATGGGGCTCAGACTCAGAGAAACAAATCAAACTCACAGAAATGAACAAATAAAAGCGAACCTATCGAAATAAACAAGGAAATAAAGGAGCTGACGAAATGCAGGGAAATACGCAGAGAAATTCAGAACCTTGAAAGCAGCTCGGGGATATGGGAAAAAAGAATTCGGGAAAATCAACATGGAAAACACTGACAATAGACAAGCGCTTTCGGCGAAAGAAACAATGAACTTCCGGATATAAATAAACGATGCAAGAAACAAATAAGGAGCAGAGGAAACAACAAGAACGCAAGGAAATAAACAGCGAAGTGAGCGCAATAGTCCAAATAGAGCATGCATGGAAATACATCATGAATTCAGGGCAGCGAGCAAGGAACCCGAAGCGCTCCAGCAGCTCAATAAAGAGCTCTGGGAAATGAATATGGAACTCAAGGAAATAAATGAGGCACCTGGGGACATAAATACGGGATTGATGGACATAAATCAAAAACCCCGGAAACAAAAAAGACGTTAACTCTGGGAAACAAAAAGAAGTTCAGGGAAATAATAAAGCCATGAAAATAGCTTCAAATTTCACCCGGATTCTTAGCAATGAAAACGTGTCACCCAATAGTAGTTGCAGTTGCGGTACGCTGGTGCTGTGCACCACAATGCTAAAAAGCTTTCCCAGACCTATTTTTTTAGATTGCACCTAGGGGCAGCGTAAAGCCGTCAAATCGTAAAGTTCAATTTTCTTCAAAAAAGCTCTTTGATTCTTTTAATAATTGCCAACTTTACACTTTACTACTTTATGGTTTTATGGTTTAATGATGCGATTTTCAATCTAAAATGTAAAACCAAAGGTAACTGAGAGAGAGAGGACGGAATTTCAAAATAGCCACGAACTTTTTCGCAAGACTAGGAATGGTGTTTTGGGTTTGTTCCCGTTTCATCCTTTCCCAATGGATGAATATTTCAATCAGCAACATGACAAGAAGAATGTCAAGACTGTCTATGTCCGTGTCAGGTCTAAAAAAGTATCAACTCAAGCCCCCTCTTTAAAGTCATTTTCACCTTGGTTCGCGGCAATGATTGGAAAGCAGGCGCGTATGGAAACATGGATGTTGATAAACAGGACGAGATGGACGACAGGCAGCATCCATCAACCGATTTGCATGTGCTATCACCTTGGGGACATGTCAAGAACCACCACTGGTTGCTTCTTGCGCTGGAAACCTTCATGACAGACATGCTCCCAAACTGCGGAATTTTGTCCATAGTCAATGACATGTTTGAAGCCAAGCGCTGATGTTGAAAATGAAGCCAAAAAGTGGCTTCATCTATTGAAAATTAGAAAGAAGCGGAACCAAAAATGGAAGCAGAAAATGGCATCAGGCATTTACCGGCGAGCAGCGCAAAGTCTACTCAATAGCCTTTGTTTTTTCATTGCCACGCTGCAGTCGCATACGCGCGGCGTTTAAGAAAACGTTGTCGTCGTCACTGCTGGCAGGCAATCGTGCCTTCAGACAAAAGCAGCTTCCCTGAAATACTTTGAACAGAAAAGCAGTGACCAGGAAAAAACTTGAAAGCACACTTCAATAAATGTTCTTTTTGCTGGTGGGCGCCCTCACTTTTGTTCTTCAGAACTGATCAACCGGTTCAAATCGGCGTTCCTGAAGACCCCAAGATCAAAACCAGCGAAATACTTAGATAAAATGTTCATCCATTGGGAAAGGATGAAACGGGAACAAACCCAAAACACCATTCCTAGTCTTGCGAAAAAGTTCGTGGCTATTTTGAAATTCCGTCCTCTCTCTCTCAGTTACCTTTGGTTTTACATTTTAGATTGAAAATCGCATCATTAAACCATAAAACCATAAAGTAGTAAAGTGTAAAGTTGGCAATTTTTAAAAGAATCAAAGAACTTTTTTGAAGAAAATTGAACTTTACGATTTTACGGCTTTACGCTGCCCCTAGGTGCAATCTAAAAAACTAGGTCTGGAAAAGCTTTTTAGCATTGTGGTGCACAGCACCAGCGTACGGCAACTGCAACTACAGTACTTTTGCGCCGTTTTCACAAGATGAGTATGATGAGTTGCAGTTTTCGTGGCACGCGCAGCACTTTGGAGACCTCTATCGACTCTATCGTCATTTTGCGTGGTAGGGGCAGCACTTCACACGTGTCGCATTGCGTGCTCTACACTCCACACTCTGCACTTTACACTCCACTCTCCACACTCCACCCTTTATACTTCACACTCCACTTTACATTCCACACTTCACACTCTACAATTTACACTCTACACTTTACACTCAAAACTCTGCAATCCATACTCTACACTCCACACTCCACACTTCACACTCGACATCCCCACAGGAAAACCTGAGACTCGAGACTCGAGACGAGCACGTTGGAGCATGAAAAGAAGCATTTTGTGGGAGACCTCCTCCAATTTTCATACTGTGTAGCTTCAAATCAACTCCTACGAAACCTCCAACTTTGCTACAAAATCGATGTTTCGTACAAGGCTTCCATCTATTTTCAGCACATCTCACAAAATGCCCGCCTGAAGTGTGCGCCTGCCACGCAAAATGACGATGGACACGCCCAAAGTGTTGCGTCTGCCACGAAAACACATACAAAGTGGATATTATACAAAGCAAGCAGACCCCAAACACAAGTAACCGACAGAACACCACTTAATACAAAACTTCTCAAACATCACAATCCTCTCTCCCTCTTCAGTTCCGCGCTTCATAGATTTCATTCTTTTCTCATTGCTGGAATAATTGGTTCAAGTTCGAACGTATGATCACATTCGTATTCAATCTGACCAATGGAATTCCAAACCCCACATGAAGAGGGAATGAGGCAACGCCGCTTTCACGATATTGACAATGCACAAAGCCAAATACACAGAGTGAGCTTGAAACAAATGGACCAAAAAACGTTGGCTCAAGGTGATGTTCATTCCATGTGCTTTAATGCTTTAATTTTTTTCCCTCCCTCGCAGATCTTTACTCGATCAGTTATAGTTCCAGCGCTAATTCGGTAAACCA